GCCCAATTTTTCAGTTTTTTATTTGTTAAAAAAGTTTGAAATATCCAATAAATTTCGTTCCACTTCATGATTGTGTCCCACTTGTTGTTGATTCTTCACAAAAAATTACAGTCTTATATCTTTATGTTTGAAGCCTGAAATGTGGCAAAAGGTCACAAAGTTCAAGGGGGCCGAATACTTTCACAAGGCACTGTAATAGTGTAAGACTAATGATTTATAATCACACTATTCTTACTATTGTACTAGTAAGAAATAAAGAAAACTGACTTTTGCACCTTTAATTCAAGACTCGCCGCAATAAATTAATCTGGTCAACTGTGAAATCTTTCTTCCTCCCTGAGAAAGTCTGAGTTAAATCTTTGACCACACAGTTTCTGTCTGAGGACTTTTGCTGCCTCTCAGATGTGTATTTCATCTGAATTATTGTTTATAGTCAATGGTGGAACAGGAAGCCTAATGCTAACCACTTCCTGGTGGTGGTGTTCACTTCCTCCTGTGTTTTATCTTTAATAAGGTCACAGAGAAAGTGATGCAGCACAGAAAGCATCTGGTCTGTTTCATGATTGTTGGGTTGTTTTTGTTTCTGGTGTGTGTTATACTTGTAGAACGAGTGGAGCGAATTCCATGGATTGCACCAGAGTGTGTGCTCTGCGGTGCTGTAATAGGCAGTGCTGCAGATAAGTGGAGCTTTGGAGCCACACTGCTGGAAATCTGCAACAACGGAGATCTGGCCATGAGCGGTAGCACTTTGCCAGAGGTACACCAGCAGCCTAGCTTATGTGCCATCCACTTACTGTGTGTAACGGTATAGAAAATGTTGCTGACCATAAACCATCCTCTAATGGCAGAAAGAGCGGTTCTATGAGACGCAGGGCCGACTGGCAGTCCCCTCATGTCAGGAGCTGGCCAGCTTCATCAGCATGTGTCTGACCTATGACCCAGCAGCCAGGCCATCATTCAGGACCATTCTACGGGAACTGACAGAAATACAGATAAAGAGTGGGCTCTCTTTCCCTTTTCTCTTTTTTTTTTTTTTAGCATGGTTTAACCTTTTCCAGTGGTTAGTTTTGTTTTGTTAGTGGTTGTGACTGAATTCAGTCCAGCTTCATGACACTATGGCCTGGCATTCTTTGACCAGAAAACAATAATGGTTTTTGCTTGTTAATAACAGACCCGGACATTTCTTCTGACTGCGAGGCGCTTCCAGACAGAGATCCCAGTATTTTCCTTAAGCGGCACCTGAAGAAGATCCGAGACCTGGGAGAGGTTAGTTAGTTCTCCTGTCTGAGGTTGTGTTAAAGATCAGGGTTTTCCTATACAGTGTGGTTTTTTTTTTTTCTTTTTTCTCTCTCCTGCTCTTTCTACAGGGCCATTTTGGGAAAGTGATGCTGTACGTGTATGACCCTGCTAATGATGGCACTGGAGAGTATGTGGCAGTGAAGACCCTCAAGCAGGAAGGGGGCAATCACCTCCATGACTCTTGGATGAAGGAGATTGAAATCCTCAAATCACTCTACCATAACAACATTGTCAAGTATAAAGGCTGTTGCACTGAACTGGGTGCGTTCTTCAGCTCTCCACCTCTTACAGCTCCTATCAAATGGGCTGTACTTGTCATATGATACCGTTCATAATATTGTTCTTTGAAGAATACAGATAAAACTCACTCTCTTGGATGATTGCTGGTTGTTCTTTTGTATAATCTTGAGTGATTATGATATTTCAGGTGGCCAGGTGGTCCAGCTAATCATGGAGTACCTTCCGCTAGGCAGCCTTCGAGAGTACCTGCCCAAACACCGTCTGGGGTTCATACAGAATCTGCTCTTCGCCCAACAGATCTGCCAGGTAAACAGTCATTTGGTGCATATTCACCAGTTCATTGAGAAAATGAAATAATAAAGAATCATTTATGGTCCCCATATTACAGTGATTCATGAACTTAAAGGGTGGTGCTTCTTTCTCAACAGGGAATGGATTACCTGCACTCGAAAAGATACATCCATCGGGATTTGGCTGCTCGCAATGTTCTGGTGGAGAATGAGGGAGTGGTGAAGATCGGCGACTTTGGCTTGACTAAGTACATTCCTGAGGGCGAGGTGTATTACCGGGTTCGGGAGGATGGCGACAGCCCTGTTTTCTGGTTAGTTTGAGTGGCAGGTGGAGGGTCATGGATTATGTGTGTCTTGAAGGAAAACGCCACTCAGAGGCACATTAAATGTTTTTTTTAAAAATGTTTGTGATGTTTAGTGATTTTGTTTGTTGGATGCTGCTGTATTTTTGTTTTTCCTGTGAGAAGTGTATCTGTGCTGGCATCACAGGGGGACATTGTTAGTGCAGTTACAGTGGCATTTGATAGGAGAGAAACTGTAAACGATCTCAAGCTTAATGGATAATGATCTGGTTTCGCTATTAGTGCCTAAAAACAAAAGAGCAAGAGCTTCTTTTCTCACTCACCATTTTCCAGTGTCACAGTGATGAAAAATCCAAAGTAGAAGTAGTGGAGAGAGCAAATGTTCGACTCCAAGTTCCAGAATGCAGTGCGGTTATAGGACACAGCTGTGCTGAGTTACGGCAGACATTCGGCTCAGCTAGTTAGCGATGGTATTGACGGCGGTATTAGCATGAAAGTTGAAGCTTTCGAACCCTTACTGTCTGAGCAGAGTGTACAGATGAGCACCACTAGTTGGTGGAGGCATTACACACCAGCAGAGAGATATCTGTGATTTTGCCAGCTGAAGTGTGAACTCAACACAACTGGCATTCCTTGGAATCGGTAAACCTTCTGGATAGGGAACCAGCATGCTTATTAGGGCAGTGATAGCTCAGTGTGTATGGCATTGGGCTACTGATCCAAAGGACATGAGTTCAAATCCCAGCGGTGCACCCATCACCTGAGCAAGACGCTTAACCTTCAACTGCTCAGCTGTATCCTGAATTGTCAGCCAAATGAGGTAAATCATTGGAGTGACGAGATGCAAGATGGTTACGCTTAGTTGTTTCAGAACAGTGCACGTAACAGAGCCATAGACTGTGTATATAGCGTTTAGCCTACCCCAGATTCTGAACAAATTGGTCACATATCGATCAGAGGCTTGGAAAGTTGCGATTAACCACCTTCTTGATTGTCCGGATCATTATGATTGTATTTTGCTTACTTCTCAGGTATGCCATAGAGTGTCTGAAAGAAAGCAAGTTTTCCTTTTCTTCTGATGTCTGGTCTTTTGGTGTTACACTGTATGAGATCCTGACACGCTGTGACCATCGTCAAAGTCCACCTGCGGTCAGAAACCATTCCCCACCTCAGCCTCTTCATGTTTTTTAATAATAATAATAATAATAATAATAATTGTTGTTGTTTATACAGTATATTTTTATATTTATGGAGAGCATGTGTTGAATATTATACTTGTGTATCTATTAAATAGTGTAATAATTGTACACAATTTGATGTGCTTGCTGTAGAAATATGTCGAGATGATGGGGATGGTACAAGGTCAGATGACTGTGATGAAACTGATTAGCCTCTTGGAGAAACACAGGCGGCTGCCATGCCCTCGAGACTGTCCACATGAGGTAGTGTGAAACATTCAACACGCACATCCAGCTCTACATTTCATTTTAAACACTGTGCTAATTTGATGTCTCGCCCTAAATTTAGGTGTACATGTTGATGGAGCAGTGCTGGGACTTCACGCCAGCGCAGCGTCCAACATTCAGGTCCCTGGCAGAGTCTTTGGAGGAAATTCGCCGTACGTACGAGGAACCTGCTGTGCGTCTTGCGCAGATTAACCATCACTGACCACGTTTACAATATATACCACTTCCTGATGATGTGATCCCATTGACAGCATTGGTTATAAAACAGCTCATTGTTGTAGTAACAGATTGATCCACTCTGCTCCTCAAGTGCTCTTTGTTGGTATCTTTATGTTAAAGACTTATTAACTAAAGTAAATACAGTGATCAGACTTTATTTCTTGGTGTGACTAAGTGTATTGTAAATAGATGTTTTGCTGGTATTTTACAAGTTTATTTCATTATTTCACTGCTCTGCCTTAAACATATACAGTACATACAGAATGTATATTTCTTCTATTTTTATTAATTTGTTGTCCCTCCCCTTTGTTTTTGATTAGAAATTAAACATCTAGCAAATGTAAACCAAAGTCAGTGACATGTTCTGAAAGGGCTTAATAATTCAGTCTGTTTTGCAAATCTGCACCTTATTAGTTAGGAAGTCAAAGGTTTTGTGAAATTTTAAACTATCCCTGAATATTTTTTTAATTGTATTTATTTTCCTCTTTTATAAAATGAGTAATTCTATCCTTAGTACTCAAAGGACTCCAGCATTATGTAGAATGCTCAGAGATTCACTGCTGAATGAGAATGTGATTTTGGATGAATGGAAGGATACAGGGCTCGCGTGTACACACCAACAATGGCTTTAATAAAATGTGTGTTTCAAACCATTCAAACCTTTACAGTTTAAGGTCTTGCATCTTATAAACCTATATACATCATATTTGAACTATTTTATCAGTGTGAACTGAACTCAATGATGGTACTTAACCAATAAATATATATAAATTTTTACAGATAATTTACATTACAGATTAATTTAAATACAGGTGAGATTTTCTTACTCAGGTAAAAGTGGAAGTATCCGGCCACAAATGTACTCCGGTATTAAACAGTAAATGTTCTTAAGTGATGAAATCTCATGTTTTTGTGTGAAAAGTAATCATTACTTATCTAAAATTGTTCAGTTTTTTGTTCTGTAGCAGTGATATCGTTTTGGCTGAAAACCATCGTTCAGTCTCTGTAGGTTTGCAGTATTTACCATTCGCTAGAATTAACTGGCTGCCTTGTAAATGACGTCTGCTCCTGGAATCGATGCTGCTTTAGCAAAGAAAACAGCTAATATAGCCAATGTTAATAAATTAACTGGTGCAGGATCTGTGTTCAGACACACACGGATAGTGTTCAGACACACACACACGGATAGTGTTCAGACACACACACGGATAGTGTTCAGACACACACACGGATAGTGTTCAGACACACACGCGGATAGTGTTCAGACACACGCGGATAGTGTTCAGACACACACGGATAGTGTTCAGACACACACGTGGATAGTGTTCAGACACACGGATAGTGTTCAGACACACAC